TGCTCGAAAATAGGAGCCACACGATTCTAGCCGACTGTGCTCCCCACGCCACGCCCCGTGTAGTGCCTCGGATGCTGCACCGGCAAATCTCGATGGCTCCAGGACACGGATCGGTCCGGCGATGCAGACACGGTTTGCTCGGCACGCGGCTTGCAGTGCCAGATGATCTCATCGGAGGCTGCCTTGTTGAGGCAGAGCCTGTCCCCACGGCAAGCACGACCAAGGACAGGAGAAAGAGAGAGGAAGAGGAAAGGGCGACCGATGTCGCACAAGTGGGCGCAAGGCACCTGAATGGTGGCTTGCTCTTCCACATCTCGCCCGTGACGTAGTCGCGGCCTGGTCACACAATCAAGCACCAAGAAGACACACACTCTCACGGACTCCGACGCTCTGCAATGAGTCCCCTGCGGCCCAGCTCGTTGCAGAAGCGCTGGCCCTCGGCATTCAGGATGATGCCGCCCACGCCGCGGAGGGCCTGCATGGAGGCATTGGGGCTTCGAGCGAGTCGAGAGGATGCGGAGTCTCTGTTTGGGAGCAAGGTGACAGAACTTGTCGCAGCGAAGCCTCGGCGGCAAGGAACTTGATCTTGGCATCGGCGTCGTCCGGCTTGACGAGGCCGGTCGGGTGGACCTGCACCCACTCCAGGTCGATGGTCTTCGCGCCGATCTCCTGAAGGGCGCAGCTCTCGAACCGAGCGAACTAGCAAGCGAAGGGGGCGGCGGAAGCACGGTGGGAGGTGGCGGCACCTCGCCCATCTTGATGCCATCGCCCGTGCAGTGCTCGCCGTTGGTGGTGGGCAGGTGCAGCAGGTCGGGGCGGTACTTGGCCAGCAGGGAGTTCTGGGTGAAGTCGGCGCCGAAGCCACCTGCGGCACGAGAGGTGAGTGCAGCTTGATACCTACCGATGCAGCTGACCGAGGAAAACTGCACTCACACAGCTGGAACAACACGCGTGCCGCGGCCCGTGCCCCTGCCTGACGCCAGGATCACGGGGCCGAACTCCTGGAAGTTCTGGCCGCCCTTCTCGTAGACGCAGCCCACGCAGGCGTTCTTGTCCGTCACGAGCTTGAAGACCTTGGCCTTCGTGATGATCCGCGCCAGGTCCGTCTTCTCTGCCACCTGTCAAGAGTTGAGCCCCAGCCCGCTTCGAAGCCCCCAAGCCCCGTGAGCACCGACCTTCTCCAACATCTGGA